CTCTTGACCAGTCAGTCAGAGTACAATTCTGGTGTTCTCTATGAAAACTAAACGTTGAGTTTCTATGGTGTCTTTCTAGTTTTTGCCCATTTGCTTCAGCCAGGTGCTGTATCGTATTACCGTATCGGTACTCGGATTGTTTTACGTGCTGAAGGAAACAATCTGATTATTTCTTCCATCATTAACGAACTGGACGAAACAATCCGATTGCTTCCTCCAATCCGTAAACGATGATTCTTTACTTCAACAGCTAACAGAAAACGATTTCTTAAAATTGTTGACACCATATAGCTGTATGTTGTTGAATGCATATTAACACTTTTAACTGTGGTAGGGCCACATAGCAGTTTTCACTCTTGCACGAATGAGCAGGCACGCTTCACCTGTTGAGTGAGGTGACCGGGGCCCAACCCTCTATCAACCGATCTCTATTCATTAACGCGCAGATATAAGCAAGTAAAATTTTACTCGTTCAAAAATATATGTAAAGCAACAAATTAATCGTATTCTTTTTTTTTTTTTTTTTGAAGAAATGAATGTTCATATTTTTCAAATAATAATCTTTTAGATTTCATAACAGAAGCTTTCATACCGCTTCTCAACCAAAATAACTTTCTTTTATTTCTTCCCCATTAAATAACTTCTTTCCCATAAATAAATAAAAAAAATTAGGATGAACTTTCAAGACATATAAATGTTCATGATATAAATACTAGGAACAAACATAAATCGATACTACCCACAAGAAGACTGCGTAAAATAAGTAAATCTTTTATGGGACAATGTATACGTTTCTACAACAAAATTCCGGAAAACGTTCAAAATGCATCAATAGCTAAATTTAAAAAAGTAGTAAAAGAACGTTTGTGTGTTAAAGGGAGGACCGAGCTTTGCTCGGGTTGTTTTTTTTTTTTTTTTGGTAAATCGTGTATTTTCGAAATTACATTTAGAAGATACAAATTACTAAGTAATGAAATATGCATAATATGTTTCGATCTTAACGACCTAATAATAAGAAAATATGAACTGGTGATTTTCACAAAAGAAAGAACTTTAAAACAAAAGGGAAAAAAAAAACAAATAGACAAAAAATAAAAGATAAAGAAAGCAATGATCTGGAATCGAAAAAAAGTAAAAAAAAAAAGTGTGTATATATGATCGTAATACGAACCACGGCCTTCTGTTTCGTGGCTGTTTGTTAGCGGCCGCCCGATTACCGACCGAGCTAATATAACATTTTTTTTTCGGTGAATTTTACCGTCGTATTCGAATAGTATTTTTCATTCCCTGAAAACTGGGATAAGACGACATTTTCCAAAAATGAAACCTAGTCAGATCGATTAATCGCCCCCAAATCTACGCACATACTAAATTTCATAAAAATCGCTGGAGCCGTTTCCGTTTTTCGTTTTTCCGTTTCTTGTATATATATATACAAGAATTGCTCGTTTAAAGGATAAGATTATAACATTAATGATTATTTAAATGATCGCTGCATGCTCTTTCAATTTAGGAGTTCTTTTATTGTATTTGTAATGAATTCATGTCAAACTGTTTATTTAAAAAAAAAATGGAATAAAGCCCGCTGAGTTTCTTTCGCCGCTTTTTCTCAGTACAGTGGCTTTCTTTTTAACCAGTCGTAGTATTTTGACTATCAAAGAGCGAGTGTAATACTCCTATGTTGAATAAAGACGTTTGATTTTTATTTTTATTTCTCTCTATGTATTCCACCACAATCCTGTAATAATATCCGCTAGTAAAACTTAATAACACATCTTTTATAAATTAACAAACAAAAAGCTTTATATCATGTAGAGATGCGCCGAAAGCGCCGAAAGTTCAAACGATTGTATGGTATAATGTGTGCATATTTACTCGGTATATTCGGCTATGAAACCGACTAATTCCTGAATAATCGGATAGAATAGAATAGAATATACTGTACAGCACACAAGGAAGGAAGGAAGGAAAGATAGAATTACATTAACATGTACATTATATATAGCTTCATTTTGAGGGCCGGTCATAGTTAAGTATATAGTTTTCATTTGAACTTATACTTAAAGATCAACTAGAGGAAGTCACCCTGCGAATTTATAACCGCTTGTTAGCGCTAAGGTAACTATCTCACCTTCCATGTTGGTTGCCATCGGTTATTTCTTTATCCAAAGCTTTTCGCAAGGCATTGGCATCAGAGTAAGCTACACCACCAATTCTTCTCTTTAACTGATGAAAGCCACCATAATAACACGGACTTAAGGGGAACATGGTGGTTGAATCCAACGCTCAATCTTATGTTGGTGCTTAAATATTAGCGCAATGAAAATTCAAAACCGGGCGGGTTTGATCCGAACAACCTAATAGTTTACTAACGGGGTTGGAGTTGCGACCGTCAAGATCATTACTATTTAGGGCAAGCAATTTGTCAAATGACACTAATGTGCGATTCTTAAAATATTATAATATCACACACAGCGTAACATGTCCATGGTCTCCTCGAATTTGTAATGATTTATGAATTAATAATCTCTCATTTTTAACGAATAATATATGAATAATAAGGAAAAGTAGAGAAATTAATTTAGGTTACTATGTATGCGAGATTCATTTTCATTTTTCCCGAAACAAAAATCTTTTTTTTTTTCATTCCTTGACATGAAAGAAAATATTATCATACCTTTGTTGTAAGATAATTTATTCACTCGTCACTATATAGTATAAAACAAAATCGTCTCGTTGTCTGTCTGTCCTACGCAACGGATCTTGATGCAGTTTTTTTTACTAGATAGAGTGATTCAAGAGGGAGTTTTATATGTATAATAAATTACACTCATGCGAAGCTGAAGCGGGTCGCTAGTTTAGTTATAAATATAAACTAGCATTTATTATTTGAAATTAAGGATATATAGCGTATCTGTAAATTCTTTTGTTAACAAAAACACAAAAAATAACACTTCTTACTCCTTTATAGTTAATGGAAGTTTCTGTAGTCAGTTAATAATGATTGAATTAACGTTTCTATGCGAAATCGCGTAATTACTACCGCGACATAATATTTGATTTATCATAATGGGTGAAATATTTGATTTGCTTAAGAAAAATAAGTTCCTTTGCATCTTATAAATGTTAAAAAAGTAAAAGTAAAGTAACAGCAAGGGCAAAGGCCTCCTCTGCACAGAGGGTATCAGGGCATAGACCACCACGCGGCCCCAATGCGGATTGGCGGACTTCACATAATTTCGAAATATTTCTTTTTTGTTATAATTTCGAAAATATGCAGGTTTCCTCACGGTGTTTTCCTTCACCGCTTATGTTCGAGTATATTGAATTAAAGGCGAGCGCCCGGACACTGAGCTATCACGCCTCGCTTAATTCTGTAACTTAATCATTATTTTCGCTGGTTAAAATAGTGAACATTGTGAAATTAAATAGAAAACACAATATTAAAATTTTTGCCCTCGGTTCATAGCCAGAAAATATTGCTCTTAAAAAGTCTTACATCATCTTTTGTTATACCTAATAACAACGGTTTGGTCGATATTGTTCATAATAACCTATTGTTTTCTTGCTTGAAATTCCTTTGAGTCTTAATTATAAAGCCGTTGTCAGATCCATACTTCATCATCGTACTTTTAAAATATATTTTGATCGCTAAAAAATTATATAAAAGAAAACTCTTAACTAATAAACATTTGTATATATAAATGTTTATTTACTTGACACGGATTATTAAATCTAACTTGATATTATTTCCTATACGACGTTTATCATGTGGCGACACCTGGGCAGGTTATGTGGTTTTTATAAAAGAAAGAAATTTTCATTTGAGTTGCTAGAGTCAAAGCTGCATTTTACTACTAGCATCCCAACAAGACGCCTTAAAATTGTATCAAGAAGTGTTATAAGACTTGAGTATTCTACAAGAATAAATGCTGGGTAGAAAGGTACCGTTTCGCGGAGTGATCACTGTATATTATTTGAAATTTATAAATTACGAATTGTTTACGCTGTCACAATATCCATATAAAGAATGGGTATTAAAAGAATGGTCTCAGCAATACTTTTCTATAAATGTTTAAATTAATCTAGGAATTAGGAAATTTAATCTTATTTTGCAGATATTGGTTTTAGACATACGTTCAGGACAATGATTTTTTTTTCTCAACACAAATAGAAAGTAAATAATAAATAGGAAGCCTCAAACATTTGTAGTTATTGTTGATGGGTAATCTCAGATTATACATACTCTTTTGATGTCTCAACTCTGACCTGTTTGATTTATATAATACATAATTTGATACCTACAGATTTTGAATTACTTTAAATTTGGAATGTTAGTTTTATTTGTTCAGACTAAATTGTGTCATAATTGATTGATTCCGTAAAAATAACTTGAAGCAGTAACATGTGTAGCTATCTGACATAACTCCTGTATTTTATATAAATTCCATGAAGATTACATTTCGTTAAAAATAAGTTCGTTTCTTATCAGTCCTTAAGTGTCTTTTTGGCTTGAAAGTGATCCCATTAGCCACATCTACCATTCAAGAGTTATCATACTGTACATTTTGATACCCTCGTTTGTCAGTAATGCTTACATAAACAACATTTATAAAAACAATACAGACTGCGAATACAGAAAAATAAAACATGTGTCCTAAACAAACAACGCTTAAGGCATATACAATAAAAATTAATATTCTCTTTCACAATGTTAGTCGGTACTTCTCAAAATTTCTGGATTTATCATTTTCATTTGAATTATTTTCATACCGTAAATAATTCAAAGCTTGCTATGAATATGTATATTATATTTATTCGGTTTCTGGTGCACATATACCGTTTTCATGTGTACAACAATTTAATTTTATGGTATAAGCCTAATCAAATCTGTTCAGACGGCAGGTCGAGACATACAACAACTAAGCTTTTAAGTTCATCCACAGACTAAAAGCACATACATACAATAAACACAAAAGAAAATAATGTTGAACCTACACATGGTGAGCTTTCCAAGAACGAACCACTTCGTGATCGTGTACGGTGGTGACTTCTTTTCGAAACGGATGGCTTTTGCCCCGAACTCAAACACGATTTTCTACATACTTCCGACTTCTCGCATTCTGCTGCCCATACTGTCGGTATGATACGAGTAACATGAAATTTATAAGTATTTATCGTCTATTCAAAAGGTAATTGCAGGTGAAATTTTCAATTTTTTAAATAATGTCTGCATGCCGGTTTAAATCCAAAAAAGGTAAGACTCGTTTATGTTCAGACATTAATATATGTAATAAATCATTTATTATTCTCCCCTCTTCTTTCCATACAAAATAGATAAATCTTACCGAACGAAAACGTTTCAGTAAACGTTTCATGGAAATCCGTACAGTTGCGGAAGCGTGAGTATTGTTGCTAAATATATTGATTTAACTTACATAGAAATTAAGTTCTGAATTCATAAAAAAAAAACAAATCAATTAGCCGACCCTACGAAAAAAATTTTTGAACCCATGTCGAGACCATTTCGGGGTCGATTCGTCAATCAATTCGGATCATCCTTCAGCTCTAGATGAAAGGGCATTTCTCGTGAGTTTTTTTTCTATTTAATTGGTTTTTTCACAGATTATATTCGTTAGCGAAAGCACAGTCGAAGGCTTCGAAATTTAAATTAATATCGCGTCACGTTACAGCACGCGCGTTGCTAACGTTCCTCACGAGGCTTTGAAGGATTAGATTATCCTTCACAGGCTCGTTAGAAACAATGTCAGCAATTTTGATATTTTTAGAGCATCTTTAATTGTGTATTAAATACTTATGTTGTACAGTTAAATAACCAATTAAATAATTGATGTTTATACTAAGATGTATTCCTGTTTAAAATTTTTAATTAACACATTTTTATTTAAATAAATAAAGTTACATTGTCTTTTAATTATTATCTCATCTATCATTCCGTCATTTCACCATGTCTATTTATAAAAATCTCTTCTTAATTCTATTTTAAACGAAGATAGATAAATAGAATTAGTGTTTATTGACCGAATTCACACAGATTCGTCAAGACATAAATACAGCATTGTGGATTGTTTCTGTAATTAAGGTGTATTTGAAGAGACGCTGATGTTTCTCGCATTATCGTTTTTAGGGTTACCCATTACCATACCCAAAGGGTAAAACTGGACCCTATTACTAAGAGTCTGCTGTCTGTCTGTCCGTCTGTCACCAGGCTGTATCTCAATTTTCACAGATGATGTACTTCTGTTACCGCTATAACAACTTAATTATACTAAAACAGAAAAAAATCCCATACAACATTCGTGCGTGAGATCGACTCGCACTTGGCTGTTTTTTTACTCTCGTTCATAAATCATGCATTTTATCTCTCCTTTCACATTGTTATGTCTTTGCGTAGGAGGCATATTCTCCACAAGCTATACTCTCACAACGGGCGCATTTCCCTCCGTTGCTCCTCTCTTTCTACGCGAATAGCATACTTAAGGGATATCGGGCACGCGCTGCGGTAGGGCACTAGTCTTCGCTGTTGCACGAATGTGCAGGTCCGTGCGGGTCAGTACAACGACCTCACAGAAAACCGGCGTGAAGTGGAACTATTATAGTTTTGCTTTTCCTCTGATGAGTGAGGTGGCCAGGGCCCATTTCGTTATAAAATGGCAACGTATCTGCAACACTTTTGTTTTTGGTTTCGTGGGGAAACCTTAGACCTATTCTATAAGCCCGAGACTACAGGCCTGACGGGTCGGCTCGTCCGTTTCTGGCAGCCCGGCGCCTTCCTCTCTAAGCGGGGTCACCCTGCTCAGCAATCTCCTCCTAGAGCAGCAATCTTCTGCTCAGCAATCTCCTCCTAGAGCAGCAATCTTCTGCTCAGCAACCTCCTCGCAGAAGGAGATTAGTGCCATCCAAGCCAGATTTCTCCAGCGCAGCCGGCACTGCATCTGGTGGAAAAAGTTCCTGCCCGATCTTTTACACCAGGATCCGACTCGTCGACTCCTACGTGAGGCACTCAGCATGCGTGTGGTGCGCGGAGTCCCGGTCCCATGGTGGCATTGCGTAGTTGATTCGCGTCCAATTCTATTTAAGTACTAACCAAAGCATCCGTGCTCTGTTACCTGCGTAACAAAAGGTGACGTGCACGAATCCCCTCGCACTAAGCCAGGCTTCGAAGCTTGGCAGGAACACGGTAACGATCCGTTAGACTACCGTAGATGCAAACGATTACTTGTCTTTAGCAATTTAGTAAGAGCATTATTCATGTAAAATATTATTGTAATGTTAAGAAAAAAGAAAATGTTTAAAATGAGACGATGCTAGTATATTAAAAACACAATTCCACACTCCCTGAGAAAACTAACCAAATATGCCTTTCCTTTTCTTCAATTCCAAGAGTTAACGTTACTTTAATGTTACTTTTATTACTTAAGTTCCACGATACTGTTGAGAAAGTCAATTGCAAGCTCGCAATTGAAAAAGGCAATATCAGCTCAGAGTTGTTCCATTAACTCATTGTTAAGTCTTTTTGATGTAAAAGCTTCGTTTGACGTACGTTAACGCAACGGAATATTTGCCCGCAGTAAGTAATTTCGCAAGCCATGAGGAAGAAAAATAATACTTATGTGGTACTGTAGGTTAGGGGTTTTACGGTCGAACCCGGCGAATCACACTGCTGAATGAACGAGCCAATTCCAGCGAATCGGTAAAACACAGCAACCTCACAGAAGAACGGCATTGAGTAAAAGTATTTCTACTTTACTGTTTTGCATGGTGAGTGGGATGAGATCAGCTGCGGCACCTCTTTTGGATGTCCATGGAGAGTGAACTCACTGACCATTCACTCAACTCTGAAGATATAAGCTTTTCCAAGCATTATCAATTTAATGTAACAATAAAAACGACCGGGCTAGCTTAGTGGTGACGTGCGATTGTAATTGTTGATTTATCTCTGTACGTAAAGTAAGTCGCAAAGGGGTCGCGTAGTGGCTTATAATTGGTAAAGACTCCGTCCAGATACGACTATTAATAGCGAAGACACACACACACATATATATATATATATATATATATATATATATATATATACAGCGTGTCGTTACCATTGTCGCGATGACAATAAATGAACACACATATAGGGGATAACTTTTTAAAGTTGTATTAAACATTTAAATTCTTTAAACATCAATATTTACAGAGTTATTAAATTTTCCAAAACAAAGAATTTTAGAACATCCTTACCTATAAAAGCGTAACGTAAAGTTAATTTGTAAAGGTCACAAAGCATATGAATGGGTTGAATGAATTTAAAAGAGACAAAATATACTGTAAGATGGAGAGGCTTGTAATACGACGCTGTGGCGCGAGTTGTATAGGATGATACAAATTTTGTTTCTTTTTTACTTAATTAGTTTGTTTGAAAAATATTTTTTTTTTAATTTTGGATTTTGTTTAACGTTAATATTTTTTTATGATTATTGGCAAGTAGCGTTAGACGTGTGTTCATTTATTGTCGCGATGGTAACGACACGCTGTATATTAGTTAGGTTGAAAATTCATATATAATGGCATATTAACTACATTAAAAAATTACATTCGCAAACTGTTTTAATACAGCAAATATACGCTTTATTGCTAAAAAAAAACTTCTTATCAGTCGTTACATACATTATTGTATTTGATCTGTGCGTTGCGACAGCTGTCAATTTGGCGGTTCAATCAAACAAATGGATTGAAATTGAAGCGCTACACGATACAATTACGTATAAATTAATTGTTTAGCAATGACTGCATTGGACGACCTTCCTGATGTATCCTCATTTTTTGGTGTAGACCTACGAACCGGATCAATGATTGTTGCTGCTCTTGGTATTGTAAGCAATAACATTATTTACAAAAATATATATTACATATCTGTATAATATATGTACTGTTTCGAAGAACATTAGTTTCATATTAATTTAAAGCCATTTTTTAACTCAAATTAACAATAAAAACATCAAGTAGGTTTAGACTTGTATCGGTAAAAATATTTTGGGCGATGATTTAATGTTATCAAATCATCAGACAATAAATGGTTAACCTGGAAAAAAAAATCCTCAAAGTTCACGACTGCACATTTTCTGGATATGCGATTCAATATCCATTAAAGGACTTCAACAAATTATACGTCCCTCGAACGATGCAAGTATTTGACCGTCCCAGTAATGTCTCTCCCGGCCGAGGGCTGTAGTACATGGACTATGTATACAAAGGTCAAGTTTACTACTGTCAAGGAGAGGAATTACTTAAATGTTTCACGTAGAAATTCTCTTTATCTGCTTGATAATTTAATCGTGAACGCCCGCTGAGGGCAACTAAGAGTTTTTGAAAGCTCCCTTTGAATAACTGGAGGGCAACAGATTCCACCACAAGCAGACACAGTGACGGAAACATTAGGAGAGTGTTAAATCTCGATAGTTGTTTGAACAAAAATTTTCTGACATTTACACTTATTTAAAATTAATAACATTACCAAGACCACAGTTATTAAATTAAATAAATAAATATTTTTGGACACATTTTTACACAACGTTCTCTAGTCCCAAACTAAGCAACGCTACTATAGGTACTAGAACATTAAATCAACGTACTTAAACATACTTTTGTAAATACATTCATAACATTATGCATATATAAACTCCCTGACACTGGAAAAACACCATTTTCATCCACAATAATTTTCCAATAGAGGCTATCGAACCCACACCCTCTAGTTCAAGAGGCAGGCTCACTACTCCCTACGCCAATCGGGTCACACAATTTTAATATATTGCTCTATAGTCACAGTTAACGGGAATGGAGATGGCATGCTCCTTTTACGATCATAAGGTGCCAAGTTAGAACTTAGAAGCTATTCACATGGTACTGTGTGATTACCGCCATAGACATCTTCAACAGGAGAAGATCCATTTACACTTATTTTGCATATCCTATACAGGATAAAAACCCCAAAACAAATTCTGATTACACAACAAAAGTACGCACTCAGTAACCGAAACGCAACCGTATCTTACTCCCACCTCATGTTCGTCTTTTTTGAGGCCGTTATACTAAAAACGTTCTGTTCTGAAACGTTCTGCACGTGTAAAGCCTAAACATTACACGTGCAAGAACAGAAACTCCAAAAGCAAGGCAAATATATTGTTGTTTTCTTGATTTTACGCGAATATTATACATATTAAATGAAACTAGTTTACGGATTTTATCGCGCCTTTTATTTTGATTTGAACTCCCGTGACGTGACGAAAGGGTTCGAAACGTCGTGAATTCAAATCAAAATGAAAAACGCGATAAAATCCGTAAACTCGTTTCATTTAGCCTTTAACGGTAGGCAAAGATTAAATCATCACATATCACATCTAGTGAAAAGTAATAAAGATAATTTTTTAGTACTTAAATATTCCTCTTAATTTATTTTGACGAGCATCGAAATAGTCTATTCGGTTTGAAACAATTTCAGGTGCACCCGATGTCGTACGGATGCTCATTTTTCATGCCCCTGAGCTATTTGCTACTCACCATTTGGATTCTGGTCGCCTGTTACTTCGCCGCGAGCGTCACGCTATTTTTTGGTCTCGTTACGGTAATAGTTTCTACAATTCAATAGGCAGCGTATAAAATGTCGTCTTATTCCGATCAAATAGTGAATACTGCACTGTTCGCTCGGTGTAAGAACAAAACAGTGTAAAATTTATTTGAATTCGCAACAATATATGGCACGTATGCGCCACAACGAAACAATTTGTTCGAATGAAACTTGGAATTCACTTAGATTTTTTTGTTTAACTTTCTATATTAAACAAAAAATGTACCTGTTATACGCTAAGCCTTATTGACGTCTCTGAGTGCAGCCGTCATCATTTATTATCATGATTTTTATTCGTTTTTGCTTTGTTGGTCATCACTTCAATATTGAACCTTGTACCGACTGAAACGCGTAAACATTAATTTATGCATCAATGTATTTGTTATACTAGGTTTTAGTGCCTTTTTATACCAAAATTTTTATACTAAAGTATTTCATTATATATCTATTACTGCATTACCCAGTACAGTAGACTGGTAGAGATTCCTTGAATGTTAAGGCCACCTAATAACAAGATTTATAGTAACAGCCTATACATATCCCACTTGGGCAAAGGCCTCCTCTGTACAGGGGGTATTAAAGGCGAGCGCCTGGATACTGCTATCAAGGTCCTTTGATTACAAGATTTGTGTAAGAGATTATTGAATGAAATAATTGTTAGAGGTTATTAAATAAAAACTGTTCCTTTTAAAGTATCGAGCATACTACAACCGTCGTTTTGGATGCCTACGGGTTGTTTGAATGAAAGCGGTTTGATTTATTATTATTAAGATTTATCCATCCATACTAATATTATAAATTCGAAAGTAACTCTGTCTGTCTGTTTCCATTTCACGCCAAAACTACCGAACCGATTTAAATGAAATTTGGTACACAGATAGTCTAGAGCCTGAGAAAGGCCATAGGCTATTTTTAATTGGCTTTTTTTTTTCAAAGAAATATATTTATTTAAGGGCTTTAACGCGAGCGAAGCCGCGGGCGAAAAGCTAGTTTATTATAAGTATGATACAAGTATCTCTTGTATAATTAATTCATCTTAAAATGTAACTTTACAGAACGACGTAATGTTATGCGCTGTTTGGATCTGGTATGCTGTGGTGTTTGTGGTGCTTATGTTGATGCTGATGATCCTGCTTGCTTTAGTGTACACCTCCCGGAGACAAAGGAACAGAGTTATCGTTGTTATTTTGGGCATGTTGTGGTATATACGTGAGTTGGAATTTATTTATTCAGATTGTTAGAATCGAAAATTTTAGGATTATACACGTACAGGTGTATCTTTGTCAGTTTTATTATTCTATATATATATAGAGGTGGCCGGGGCTCACTATATTACAATTTGGCAAATATCAATGGGCGGCGGTTATCGCTTAACGTCAGATGAACCGCCATTTACCATGCCACCTTCTCACATAAAAAACGTTATATGTTAACGCAGTAGCCACTGCTTGAATGGTTTCAACTTTTTTGCGACTATATTGCGACTGAAGAATTAGAAAGGCGATGCTATATGTAAATTGTTCTGCATATATATATATACTCATGTGTCTTCTATAGACTACTCCTCTCTTTTACACTTCTAGTAGATAGTGAAGTTCTCCACTGGAAATTGAATACACTCCAAATGAAAAACTCCAATGGAATCTCTTTCTTGAACGGTGATAACCACGTTCCACCTGACATTACCTTCGCTCAAAAACAATTGTTACCACCGTTATGTGTTGGAAACCAAGTGAAGTGATGAGAATACTTCAATTACAGAAAGCCAACATATTGCCCACAAAGAGTTAAGCCCATCTATTTAGAATTCTGCTAGACTGCTGTGGGCACTGAGCGTGCTAGGTGACAGACTTACCGCCTGTCGTGTGTAATACTTAACACGGTGACAAGTGTACAATGTTTAGCTCACTATGTTTATCAGGAAAGTGAAATATCTGTTATATTACATTTAACTTGTAATACAATTATATAAATTTCACGTGTAATACAAGATATCACGCTCAAAAATATTTAATACTCTTTCTTACTTTCTTCCAGTAACAGTCTACTTCATACTCGTTGTGAACAGTCATCGCAAAGAACTGGTGAAAGCTAACAACTTGGGCGAGAAAATTATTGATAAGTTATAATATATAGTAAAACATAGTTTGGTGCGACGCATTAAAAAAAACATTTTACGTGTTTCATTAAAAAAACCTTTATAAATTCGCTTTACTATGACATTTTCTTTTGACAAGTTCACCTACTTTAAAGGTCAATGTGAACACATCTTTGCTAATTTTAATAAATATAAATAAATTATAGCGTCGGAGTCGATTCCCACACGGGGCAATCGCATCTGGGTGAAATTTATATTTGTCCCGAAATATCACTTTCATTAAAATAAAAAATTTAAATATTTCTTTCACACGCAAGTATGATTTTTTCTATTCGACAATTTGGCATCGACCAGCACTTTAGTGGAAATAAAGAATTAATTTTTTAAATACATAGGTTTCATAATATTATGCTCCTTCCTATTTATTCCTCGGCACTACAACCATGATCTTAATTAAGGTTAAGATTATTCACTTAATTACTTCATTTTCTAATCTAAATCAAAGTACATTTTACATACGGAATAAAAATAAAAGGTTTTACTAATACTGTGTTTTATAATTTTGTGCTTTATAGTTAAAAGTTACCAACTATCGAAATGAAATTGTATTTTTAAGATAGAGCATAATCGTACTGGACCGTTGCATTAACATTTTTACCGGGTTAAAGCAACAATGTGACTATGACTCCGTGGCGCAGTTGCCAAGGTATTGGCTTCGGCGTCCGGGGTCCTGGGTTCGATTCCGACGCGGGATAATTAGTTGTGTGACCCACAGATAGTTGTTTCGCATCTGGGTGTTTGACCACGTGATATTAATGTTAGTAAAACGTCCTTACAACTCATGATAAAGTTATCCTAAAGTAAGGGCAATGTTTTATCGTTTAAAAAAAAGAAAGAAAATAATAGCTTTTTATTTTTTAGCAAAGCGCCTTACAAACTTACAAATGATGCTGTAAACGCATCATCTTCACGACCTCATCATAAGTCTATCGCTTCAGATGATCCCTCCATGGGTTGTAGTCCTCACTTAGCAAGTGGTGAATCGCTATCTCTTTCGTTATAATTCCTGAGACTTAAACCTTTTACTGTTCGAATAAAGTAGTGAACTGTGAAAATGTATTTCATAAATTTGTCAGTCTGTACTCACTATTTGACTTGCATTGAACCACAATAACTCTGAGGAAGTATGAAAAACGGAAATATATTTATAAAACTTTATTGCGTTCAAGATGATTAATTTGTAGCAGCGATGGATATAGGCGGTTTAACATCTTTTGCAACTCTCAACTCCAACCAGTACCCAAAAACGACCATCGAAAGGTAGATCAGGATACCTAAAATTTATTTGGTTTATTGAGTCAGAGTACAGTTCAAGTGGATCATTTTAGGACTGAAAATCAATTACGAATTATTATGGCAAATACGTATTATCGCATAAATACATTCACTAACATTTGAAACATGGTAATTGTTTTATAACAGGCCTTTTTTTTAAACTTTTCAGAGCCGATTTTCTAAAGCTTTTAAGTGTTAAATAGAAAGTGATACTTAATATCTCAAAATTAGTAGACAATTTAAAAAGTCTTTTTTATGTGAAAAAGTGGCAAACGAGCTGACGGTTCACCTGATGTCAAGTGATAACCGCCGCCCACGGACATTTGCAACACCGGTTGCAGATGTGTTGCCACCTTTTAATAAGGTCGGCTCCGGCTACCTCACTCACCAGACGAAACGCAGAAGTGTAACATGTTTACTTTGCGCCGCTCTCCTGTGAGGTCATGGTTTTAACCCGGACGGACTTGCCCATTCGTGCAACAGCGAACTGTTGCGCGTTGCTTGATCCTACCACAGGAAAAAAGTCTTACTCTTAGTCTTAGTATTAGCACTCACCCATTGCTAAAATTCCAAAAATTATAGACATCAACCAAGCGGCTAAGCTAACATCGAAACTGTGTATACAAAGCAACACGATTAGCAATAAAAATGTTTGTGCCAACCACACGTCTGTTACAATAACCCAACATAAAATTATATTACGTTTTGTCTGAAATCAAAATGTTTATTATAAACTTGGATGTCGTGATTAAAAGAACTTTAGATAGTTTCACTACCATAACCGTATGAAACTACGTTTTAGCTATATTACCACTATTAACACAATGAAGGATTTGGATGGTAAAAAGTGTTAACTTCGATGGTGTACTTAATGAGCTCCGTTACTTAATATATGACGTAACTTAATATTGACAAAAAAAATCACTAAGTCGGATATTTCGATAAGTATTTCGAAAGTTATTAGCGAGGTGTTTGATCAATGCGTTCCTAAAAACATCGAGAATCTAATTAACCCATTCATTGCTTAATATGTATCTAACCATACTCATCGAGATTTTTTTATTTTAGTAGGTATAAAGATATTGAATTCCTAGCTTAGGGGCCAGAGTATGAAACGGTTCCGGAAGCCGGTTTGAATTCTTGCAGTGATATGTCATGAACCGTGATAATTAGACAGTTGAAATTTTTACTGATGATGTATTTCTGTTGCCGCTATAACAATAAAAACTAAAAAACAGAATAAAAAAATATTTAAGTGGGGCTCCCATACAACATACATGATTTTTTGCCGTTTTTATAGATAAGGGTACGGAAACCTTCACGCGAGTGCGACTCGCACTTAAGTTAACTAAAGTTCAGTATAGGCCCAATTATAGATATAACTTTTTCAATTTTAATGTTGTATGTAAACGAAAGTATGAAAATACCTGCACAACTGCCCAAATTAAGCTCAGATTCATAATGACGATTAGTATATTGTAGATGATTGCGATGATATCGAAACTGTAGGCAGCTCGCCACACAAACTTCTGGCATGTCTTAACGTCGGTTGTAATCACTTGAACAAGCAAAACAATGCAAGCAATTAATGCAACGCACTGAAAAAAAGAATTTTGAAAGTTTATATAAAATTGAAAGTCATTACGATAGCAGCCATAGCCAGATGATATAAATCGAAATGCTATAATATATTGACTAGAGGTACTAATCAGATGAGAAATGAAACTTTTTATAGTCTATATTAATTTTGAATAAATAATGACATTTTATATATCTCAGAACTTACGCTAAAAAAAATTCCTACACACAGTGCCCCAAACCTCAGGGGAAAGAAGCAAAGGAATTTTTTTGGAGCAAATGATTCTAATATCATTTTAAGTATTATAGAAAAATAGTCTTAAAAATCTTTCATGAGTGAATTTTCAAGTAAATTTTTATCACGACCAACTTGATTTGTATAACAAATCTGGGCTATGCTTCTATTTCTCTATGTTTTTAATGAAAATGTCGTATACAAATATGTAGTATTGTCTCATTCAATGGTTCCAACTGAATAACTTTATTATATTATTATAATATATTTAATATAGTAATCTTTGAAAAACTAAGGACATTTCTTTCGTGGGTTCTTTGTGAAAATACGCATTGTCATGGAAGAGAAGCTTTCTCATTAACATAACACTTAAAGCCAGCTGTCATAAAAAGAAATCAATTTTCTGTTTTTAAATGTTAAATTCTAATATTGTTAACATTTAATCTGGTAACTTTTTACATATCGATCAATTCACCTTCAAATATTAATAGGGAATTAATTATATTAATAATTAATAGGGAAATATCGATTTCCTAGTAACAGAATTCGTAAAATCGTTCAGTTTTAAGGATGTCAATTTTTTCTATTTTTATTAGATCAGGCTATTTTTTACAACAAAATCAAACCGTTCCTTCGTTTCATTGATTCCCAAATATTATAAATTGTTGATAACGCGTACTCTTCAACTAGAAATACGTCTTTGTAATTTAAAATCTTTAAATATCTTGTATTCATTATATTCCTCATCATAGTAAAAACATGAGTAAGTATAATGGTGGATTTCTATAGTACAACATTTCAAGATTTAATTACTATTATTGCCTTTTTCTATAAATCTGTCCGTTTCCTCCAAGATTCGCTCTATCCATTAAAAAAAAATATAAGCGAATATCGAACGCAGTCGTTATTTAAACAAAGACCAAAATTTTTTTTTCCCATCTTTACACAACGTTCTCTACTTCTAAACTAAGAAACTCTTATTCTATAGGTACCAAAAAACTGATAAACATACTTAAACATACTTTTATTTAGTAAATAAATACATACTGTAGGTATATAAACACCCAGACACTGGAAAAAACTACGTTCATCACACAATATTTTCCAGTAATGGGGATTGAACCCACACCCTTTGGCAGGTACACTACCCATTACGCCAATTGGGTCGTCGTTAATTTAATATATGGTAAACAATTATGAAAGAAAACCTAAGAATAATAATGTGACTCGTGACTAATATGACTACTCGAGTCGAGGACATCGCCTCATAATGAGTAACACCGTGCAACATCTAATTAGAGGTTATGAAAAACATTTCAATTCAGGTGGGTTCTAACTAGGTTATATTAGGATAGCTTCAATGTACAACAAATAGACACAAAACTTACGGTGCGATTCATTAAAAGTACAAACAATGTCGAACTAGACGAAGCGAAATTTATGTATGTTATTTGTTTTTATTTAACTCAAGGACTTATATGCATTTAGACTGACAATAGTTATGGTCATTGTCATTAATGACCTTGGTGACCAAGAAAACAACACCCAAAATATTCTTAGTTATGTTTTAATGAACAAGGAACATAATTGGCTGTGACATTGATCAGGAACTGAAACCATGAATTCGTAGGACAATCTTCTAACCATATTTCTCATGTCCAAATTTTCAAACATTTCATTCACAGCAAATTCCCATTGGAACTTGGAGTGAATGCATATTCCAAGAAATGCTCTTGAATCCTCAAGAGGGATTTTCTCGTCAATTCAGATTCCTGACTGATATATTTTATTTTAGTGTTACTTAAAATTTAATTGTGTAGGAAACTTCAATGTGTATTTTTTATAAGTGTTAATTTTATTTTATATAAGTAATTATTCAATTATTTTTAATATAAGTATTAATCATCTCCTTATAAGTTCGCACGCACGCACGCACGCACGCACGCACACACACACACACACACATTTGCTCTCGAGCCGTTCCCTTTTTTTGTTTCTCTTATTGTTTTAGTAAATAATATATTAATATATTTTTAATTAAGTTTTGCCAATTTTTTTTTTCTATTTACCTTTGTGAAATATTTTTTTTTGAACATGACATGTTACCATTATTATTATTATTTCGATAATATGTATACTCACGATATTTTCCTTCATCGTGGAGCACGAACTCAGGTGCTCGAGTATATTGAATTAAAGGCACCCGGACACTGAGCTATCATGGCCCTATTTATATAGTGGAAAACTGTAATTGGCTTCCAATGCGATGTATGCGATGTAATAATCTGGGAAAACTGTAATACGATATGCTGTTGTTTTCCCAAATAAGTAAATGATAAAAAAAATTAAAACAAAGTAAAATTAAAATATACAAAGTTAAATCAAAGTATATTTAATATATAAATACGGATATTCAAAAATCAATAATTATAACGAACAAAATTACTATCCAAAATTATAACACCGACAGATCCGATGGTGACGAGTATATAGGCGATATGATTGGTTTAGGATAGTTGTTTGAAATTAGCTCCACTTAAGTCAAAATACTATCTGCAGTAAACAAAAGTACAGTTAGATAGAATATTAAAACCAGCCTAGGTAGCCTAAATAGACTCAGTGACACGTGGATGGCCTCTTCAACAAAACCAATTGCTTCTAAAGACGAAGCAGCGTGATTTATTTTGTTTTATTAAAGGGCAGTTGACAACCGATCCAATTAAAACGATTATTAGTTATGTTCATCTACAATAACAATATATGGCTGATGAGTATTGTGCAAAAACTCTGTAAATAAAATAAATATTATTTGCAGATTTCATGTACAATTTTAATATAAATTTATTTGCGAAACAAACAGAATACACTACACATATAATTATTATAAATAACTTGTACAAACACAGGTTATGTCCTCTAATAGCAAAATCATAAATGAACAGAAAATATAAAGTTAAATAAAAAAAAGCAATCACAACCTAAACAATTAACATTAAATGACAGTAATAATAAACGATAAGAACATCAGTGGTTAAAATTTTAACATGGCCAATAAATAAACAAAAAACTCCAAATCTGAAAGACAGGTGCTTTAAAAATTTCTCTTGAATTCATTCAAGACCTTCTATATGTTTTTTGTTTTTTTGTACGTGAATAACAAATTAGACAAATCGAAGAAACAGTCACGAACAGTGTAATAATTTACATCACAGACCGCTTTCTTGTACATTTCAATGGATGCCTGAATTGAATACCATTCCTAAATATCTTTTATGACATAGCGAACAATATCGCATTGAGTACATAATTATTTCCAAAATAGCAACGTTGGAATAATGCTTTGATAAATTATTATGCACTGAATTTTATTAATATAAGTTATAACACAGTATAAATGTATAACGTAATAGAATTTTTAGATGAAAACGATGAGCTATAACAGTAGGAGATATTAGCTCATTTATAATTTATCATAGTGCAAGTTTGTAATCTATATTAGTTACGCTGTTAACTCAATAAAATAATCGAAGAATCCCTTAATATACTTGAAGTGATTCATGAAATAACTTCGATCATGTATGACATAAAAATTTAAAGTGGCACCCCATCCGCAATTTGATATTTGGGTGTTTTTTTCTTTACAAAGTCCACAGGGGCAGCGTTAATTACAGTAGGTCGACCGCCTACTCGCTTGCCACCATCACACACATTTTTCCCTATCCTGTTTATTCGGCATATCAATGACTTGTTGCATATCTGGAGCATTTATTGCCACGAGTGACACATTATGTCCAGGCAAACTATTCTCAGGAATACGTTGATGAGTGTCGAAATAAACTTATGTCTGAAGTCGAGGTTTTTGAAGTAAAATCTCAGGTTGGGGACGACTAAACGTAGTCCAATTTTATCGTACAGCCGTTTGCGAAAAATTAAACCCTTTGTCGTATCTCCTTCTTTTAGAGGGGATACGACAAATTATTGCCTTTACTGCCACAGAATCAGAGTTTTTTGTGTTGACATATAGAACGGCGTTCAATTTAGGGATGACTCGGAATCTCGCATGGAATACTGTTCTCATCACTGGCTGGGGTACCCCAATAGTTCCTTTCACAGGAACAGCTCTAACAGCTCTTCGTTGAACGCAGTGAAATGCGTTCAACGAAGAGCTGTTCGAACTGTAGACCAACAAACCCCGCCTGATTGACCCGACCCTTTGCCTTGCGAAGAAATATTGCATTTCTTTGCCTTTTGCTATCGCATCTATCACGGGGAGTGCTTTGACACCAAATTTTCTGTTACGCAAAGCCACTTTGTGGAACCTTTTGTCGCCAGTGGTATTTCCGGACCGATGCGACTTAGGCCCCTTCGAGAAGAGAGACTACCCTGACCCCAAAAACGGGCAACACAGTTGTCCCCTATGTTTAAAGTGTCGAGTAGGCAGCGGTGATCATTTACCATCAGGTGACGCTGGTAATGAAAGAGACAGTGAATATATATGTGACCTCGTTATTTTAAAAGTGGAAATGTGAATAGCTGAATACGATACGATCGACTATATGATCGACTTTTGTTCGTTTAATAATTGCGCGGAAATAAAAACTGTAGCGGAACGACCCACTCGCTGTTCCACGAACCACTAGAACAGCAATGCCGCTGTTAATACACGAGGTATTGAATTATTGTAACGATATGTGTATAAATAAAGGCGAGCGACACTGAGTTATCACGGCTTACCCTCTGTATAGAGGAGGCCCTTGCCCAGCAGTGGAACATGTTTAGGCTGTTACTTTACTTTACTTTTTATATGTGTATAAAAAAAAGTAAAGTAACAGCCTATACATGTCCCACTGCTGGGCAAAGGCCTCCTCTATGGAGAGGGTATCAGGGCATAGTCCACCACGCGGCCCCACTGCGGGTTGGCGGACTTCACATATCTTCGAAATATATTTTTTTTGTTATTATTTCGAAAATATGCAGGTTTCCTCACGATGTTTTCCTTCACCGCGTAGCACGTGATAAGTCAGCACTTAAAGTTAAAAACTTCATTGGTGCCGGCACCGGGAATCGAACTCAGGTTGCTCGAGTATATTGAATTAAAGGTGAGCGCCCGGACACTGAGCTATCACGACTCAGTGTCCGGGCTCAGTTTATATGTGTAGATCGTGGTCGCCGTTACAATAATTCAATAAGTGGTAGGTAGCGAGCAGACGGTTCACCTGATGTTAAATGAATACTGTCGCCCATGGACATCTCCTAAACGCGAGGGTTCCAGATGCGTTGAAAACTGTTTTAAAATTGGGCTCCGGCCACCTCACTCACTAGACGAAACGCGAAAGTATTAGTCGTGGTACTTACCCGGACGAGCCTGCCCATTCGTGCAACAGCCGAGGCTGCTGCGTGGCCCTACCAACGTGATTACTACAACTATTTTTAACATACAGTACGAATATATTAATAATAATCTAACCTGCGCTAATTGAACATGAACGTGTTAACCGTCGAGCAACTTATCACCCCATGAGTCTCCACCTTATTTTGGTCAAAATTCACACATTCTATTCGAGCGGTTATATAGTAACATTGATCGTCTCACAAAAGACAAACATTTAGTTTGAACGAAATTACTGAACGAGCCTCATGTGTGAGTTGATAGAAATTGTACACGTAAGGAAAAAGCGTTATGACCCCTCCATTCCAATCTCGTGAATCGCTTTTCATGTTTGTTTGTAATATGTTATAACAAATTGCACGTGGCGCAGATGTAAATGCTAGTTATTTTTTGAAATATTCATAAATTGCAATTTTATTACCAATCAATTATATTTTTTTTTTCATTTAGTTACTCTCGAAAGCTATTGCATTTATTTTACTGTTTACTGATATTCAATACATAATATATAGCAAAAAGGAATTTTATTCTATCACCCGGAAAGTCATATCGAGTCATATCAAATGGGCCAAAGACCCATTTTTTAACTTGGACTGAAAAATGCTTGACCATTGTTGTTGCAATGTATATTTCATTGCTATACTATTGGCCAAACATGTATAATATTATTATACGAACAGTCAGAAACAACATTTAATTAAAAACAAGATTTTAGAGTGTTTGGAAAAAATAGTTGAGAGTAATATTTTTACGATGCGCGCGCTCACCGACTCCCAAAAAGCGACATGATGAGATTGCAAAGCAACCGACTTCACGGTATTACCATGGCAACCAATAACAAAATTTTACATTTATCTACAATTCTAAGTTATAACCGTTATCAATTGTCTTTTTCACAAATAAAGAGCACAAGGGATATTATTCCATACAACAGGCATGTTTTTTTTTTTTTTGCCTTTTTTATACATAATATAGGTACGGAACCGGTACGATAACATAAGTGCGAATCTGACTCGCACCTGGTTTTTTATTTAAATACTAAATGCAACATTACATAAGAACAAATAAGTTAGCCTTATAAATTTTAGAACCTTGCCAAACTTAGATATTTCTATAATATAAAGTATTGGCGCATGTTAGTAGTTTATATAATCATGTTGCCATCATTATAAGTTAATCATGGTAAGCATACAAATCCGGTCGATGGTTTTGAAACACTACGATACGAGGTGAAATGTTTTGCTATGAGCTCAACATTGACTCTGAATATTTGTTCGTTACTCGTTCGATACAACTTTTCACAGTAATGAGCGCAGAAATATTGTATATCTTGAAGATCGCAATATTGTTAGGGGTGTACGGAGCAAGTCTACCTCGCCACGAGACAGCCAGGTTGAGCATCAGCTCGATATTTGAGACTGCTGTGCCAGCAGCCATACACCCGCTGATAGCTGCTGGCTCTGACAGGTGTAAGTAATGCCCTTATTTCTCTTATCCCCTATTTAATGCTGCACTTTATACTGCTGCACTTTTTAGAATTTTGTTCATGCAAAGTAAAAAAAAAAATTATTAACTTTTACATCTTTCATTCTGAACATGTTAACGTTTTTGCTTCTTAATTAACCGAAAAAGAAAAAAATACGTATAAAGCAGAATTGCTTTCAGTAAAAGATTAATTTTATTGCGACATGAATATAATTAGCTTCGATCTCGGCGACTCTTTGTAAAACAAAATATTCGTCTCTCTTTATTAAAACTACGGATCTTTTTTATCTGTATTAAATATATACTTCGATAAAAATTAGCTTGGCATCTTGTATTGAGAAAATGAGCTTAAATTATTTATTTTTCATGGTAACCGTCAAATGTTTTCCTCAAAAACAGGCGAATCGATAAAGAGATTCTTCGGTATAACATATGAGCAAATGCAAGAGAAAAGTGATTCAAAATTTCATGAGACCCTCAATATCGACTTTGTAACAAATAAAGGAAATGTAAAATTCAACGCTACTGCAGTAAAACTTCTAGACAGACTAATAGATAAATCGAAAACGACAGTTGTCCTCACACACGGTTTTATGGAGAGCTCAGACGGTTTGATGGTAAAGGCTATAGCGTCGGAGTTGCTAAAGAAGAAGGATATGAACGTTTTAGCCTTAGATGGGCGGAAACTCGTTACCTTCGAGTATTTCCGTTCAACGAGTTACGCACGATTCATGGGCGAGAAGTTGGGGTCATTGTTGAGCGATATTATTAAACGTAAGTAGGTACTTCTACTCTAATTACATCTTATCTGCAGGCACGTCAAACATCAACATCGTTTTGTCGTGGTGGAGGGGCTTAGGAGCCGTGGCTTGGTCACCCACGGCGAAATCAAGAGAGACCCATACTGGACCGCACCAAGTGGGCTCTTAAGCCCGGAGGATTCCCGGAGGATAGTGAAGACGTGGTGAGCGGCGTAGCCACTAAGAGGACTGCTTGATAATCTTTGACCCTCCAATGACTTTCGGTCGACGAACCTTAGGGGAGTTCATTGACCATGCAAAAATGGTCGAGAGGGATGGATGCGCTGAATGTTCTTACGTGTCGTTCCTAGAGAAGAGAGGAGTTGCTGCTACAGCTAGCTCTGGCAGGGTCTCGGAAGTGTGCTAGGAATCTAGGTGGGACATCGTGGGGGTTTTAGTAGGTCCGAGTCTGACATATAGCGTTCTTGCCACCGCGATGGCCGGTGTGCGCATTTCCCCTACGTAAACAAAAAAAAGCAAAGGCTCTCCTGGCTAGCCTATGGTCTCTGGGCAGCGGACTTGTGGAAGTCCATTGGCTTTACAAAAGGTGAAAACGTGGAAGGCATGCTTTAATTTTCAGCGCGCTTTACCAAAAGAAGAGAGGATTGCTCCCCAGGTATTTTGATTGCTTCTGAGGAGGCCAGTGCTGGCGTAATTGTGTCAGTACGAAAGCGTTCCCGTGACCAATATGTTCCCCGATTAGACTATCATTGGGGTGCGAGTTAGCCCATTCCTGCTGCCGCTAGTATTTTCCCCACGTATGTAAATAAAAAGGTACAATACAATAAGTCGGTACACATATAAATACTTACCACCGGAAATTGATTCAACTACCTGCTATGGTAAAGTTTCTAAATTCCCAAATGCAAACACAGATCTGAATATTTTTGATTTTATGTTTTAGATGGCCAAGATCCTAAAAACATTACCCTTATCGGGCACAGTTTGGGTGCCCATATAGCTGGTATTGCCAGCAAAAGTGTTCGAAGGCTCACTGGCGAGACAATCGGACGCATTATAGCTCTAGACCCGGCTGGGCCTTGCTTCAGTAACATTAGCCACGCGAGCCGTCTAGATCGCGATGATGCAGCATTCGTGGATGTCATCCACACAAACGGCGGTATATTGGGATTAAAAGAGCCTCTAGGTAAATAGTCGTAGGTAAGACTTTGTTGAAATTTGATCAGTGTAAAGACTGACACGCTGTCAGTTCTATCCTTTAAGTAATCTGGAGAGATGACTTGTAATAACTAATCAAAGGCTTCGTTTATATTTCGCGACGGATTTTCGAGTATGAGAAGACCTGTTCGATATTCTTACTGTTCAATTATAATGTAGTCTCAGAGATATTTCTGATCAGCTTAAGTGCTGCGTTATGAAATTTTAATAAGAACTTGTAGATGTTTTAGAATATTGATTTAACAATTTAATTATTATGAATTAAATGAATATTGACAAAATTTGTTAAGTAAGATCCCTCGTCCTTAAGCTGTAATAGACTAAAATTTAACCTAACTCAATTTTGACATCAAAGGTGACACGTAGCAAACTTAGCAACAGTGAATTAGTGATAGATTTGTGAGAACAGATAATTCTTGCAAGATATCTGAGGAAATAAAAAATCCTTGGTGCACGCCAACTCTCAATTTCAGCTAGTCTGTTTATAATCATTTTTTAAACTTTTTAGACTAAAGTGGGATTATTTTTCGATCACAGGAGACAAAGACTTTTATCCGAACGGAGGCTCTTCACAACCCGGTTGCTTCTTCTCGACATGCGATCATAGCAGAGCGTGGGAGATATTTGCAGAGTCGCTAAATTTTCCGGAACAATTCCCTGGTATTTTCTTAGTTTTCTTAACCTTATAATGAATAATTACCATGGGATTAATTGACGCAGCTTTTTAGTTAGGATTTGAGCGCGATGGAATCTGTCAGGATTGCAGATATCAAATGGTCAATGACGGATTTCCCAGGATATGAATGTTATAAATTTTGGGAGTTGCAATTTTTAAATTTTTTCACGTTTTCAATTTTTAAATTTGCTTTGTAAACTTTTATAGCTACTCCACCCCCTTTAATACAAACTCAATAAAGAAAATTCAATATTGACATAAAAAATATTATGAAATTACAATATTATTTCAAAGTCTAATATACAATACGTGTTTAGTTAAAGCGAATGTTGGCACTGGTAGCTAAAAAAAAGGGATTTCATGTGAAAAGTTGCCAAAAAACAGGTGGTCCACATAAAAATAAGTGAATACCGCCGCCCATAGACATCTACAACACCTGAGGGATTGCAGATGCATTGAAATCCTTTAAAAAAAATTGGGCACCGGCTACCTCACTCACCAGATGAAACGCGAGAGTATTATTCACACCGGTTACCTCTTCTGAGCGGCCGCGGTACTTCCCCGGACTAGCCTGCCTATCCGTGCAAGAGCAGGAACTGTGTATCCCTAGCGCAGTAAAATAATTAATAATCAAAATTTCTCCATTTAGCTCGCAAATGCAACAATTGGACTATGTTTCGCGGCGGACACTGTGGAAACAACGAGCTCGCCTTTATGGGGATTAAGTCAAAGGCTGGAAGTTCAGGGGCTTACTTTCTTACCACCAGTTCATCACCACCATTCGGTCTTGGTACGGCCGGCGCTGACTAAAACAGGATCCAGCTTTTAATTCTCCTTAATATAGCAAATAATGTATTTTTTTTTATTTGAAAAGTTGCCAAACGAACAGACGGTTCACCTGATGTTAAGTGAACGCCGCCCATGGACATCTGCTACACCCGAGGGTTACAGTTGTGTTGACAATCTTTTGAAAATTGGGCTCCGGCTACCTCACTCACCAGACGAAACGTGAAAGTATTTGTCATACTTTCACTTTACGCTGGTCTTCTGTGAAGTTGTGGTACTTACCCGGACGGGCCTGCCCAGTCGTTCATCAGCCGAGGCTCTGCGTGGCCCTACCACTGTTCTTAAATTCCCTTTGAAATCACACAAACATCACATAAATGATATTAGTAATGCATAACATTATTAATGTTAAAATGTCGAGGATCTAAAACTTAATAGGAAATACCGATTAGAAATCCAATACCTTTGGAGGAGCTCTTTAAGAAATCAAAAACATAATAAATATAAAAACTCGATTATGTTCTACCTTGCACATATGAAGTCAATATTGTGCTACAAGCTATTAATGTGGGGAAGGCATCAATTAAAATTAAGCGTTTGTTGCACTAAAATATATTAGGGCAATGTTTATTGTCCAACTACAGGAATAATCTCGATGCTTAAAAAACTTATCTGATTAGCCCTGACAACACTTTATATGTAAATAGCCATGTTTGTTTGAAGATCTGTGACTCATATAAACTTATTCTGGATGATAATCATAGAATAAGTAAATATAATATAATCTGTGTGTATATAAAAAACATGACACAAAATGAACTCAAAGTATTAAAGACTAGGTTAGGAAAATTGCATAAATGGTTAATGCAGAGATTTATAACATAAAAGGTATAATCAATGAGATTCATAAACAAGCTTTTGCTTATATATTATACAGTGGACTCAAACAGGCTGAAATGATGATGATGATTTAAAAAATAATAATATAGAAAGACAAATTTTTACGCTTTTTCATTTCGGAAGACTGATGAGGAGATAAGGGATTGCTTATTTGTGTCATGTGAATGTTTACATAAGAAGATTAAAGAAAGTGTAAGTTTGTTCACCACTAAGCCACATTTATTTAGGGCTTACAGTTCGCAACGGGACATTTCGAACAAAACTTTCTTAAAATAAATGCTTTTGTGGCGGATTTACATAACTTTAGCATTAAAGCGAAGTTCTTTCAATATATTCTTAGTATTCTAATATAAATTATTAAAATTTGTAGAAAAAGTACAAAAAGTTTGTCGCCGCTGTGGGAATCGAACCCACGTTTTCGGAATTCGCGGCCTGAAGCTTTAGCCACTAAGCTAAACGGCTGATTGCCACACCGACGAAAATCTTAACGTCTTTTATCTACATTGTTTTCAGCATTTGAAGCAAAGCTCGGCGCATCCATTGTTATATCCTTTCCAGCATACAAACAAATAAAAGAAGCATACACCATTAAAAAAATAGTTTAAAATTCCAAAATAAAACTAATTATTCTAATATAAAACTAATAATCGCCAAAATATGTAACACCCGAACACCGTCACAATGTTACCGATGAAAGCGTTGCTAAATTTTACTATATTTATTATACAAAGGTAAATATTTAATTAACTTATGAGTAAAATTTTCATGTATTTGAATAAAATTATTCAACGTAAGGCCACACTTTATGCCTTTCGTGATATACTATTTCCGTCAGCAGAATAAGGCTGGCGACGACATAAAATGCAAGCATAATTAAAAGAGGCACCACTATATGATCAAATTGCGACCTAGCGTGGAAGGTGTTAGCGACACAGCTTACGGGAGTGTATTCATCGTTAGGCATCAGCCGCCTTAAGACACCGCTTTCTTTGATACGAAGAGTTCTGAAAATCAAATACAAACTGTAAACATAGATGAACACGGCTTTAAACTATGAAACCATATAAGTATTTAGTATTTCCAGCTTAATATATGTTTAATGTATTCTGGACATATCCGGTAAATAATTTGTGTTTTTATTTCAAAGTGAAAATCAAAATTTCTTTATTAAATAGTAGCTGCCCGCACAGACTTCGTTCTTTTTTTTTTGTATTAAAACCTTCCGTGGACCTTAAGGAACATACAAAAAAATAAATTAGCCGAATTGGTCCAGCCATTCTTGAGTTAAGCTTACCAACATTAATTTTTATTTATTAAGATAAGCTCATTTTAAGCTTTTATTGGACGTCAAAAAATTACCACCGGTTCAATAAATTAGACCCGTCCAGAGAAGAATCGGCGAGAAGCTTTGGGGTTTTCTTCTCTTTGATTATAAAACACACAAAAGTATTTAAGTATAAAATTAGCAGCAGCCAGGGAACTTGCAAGAGCAGAGCAAGAGTCATTTCCACACATCCTTGTCCTCAATGTATCCTTCGACATTGTAATAGGCCCTTTCCATTAGTGTAGTTTTTACAAAATGTTTGAAATTGTTTACACTTAATTGTTTGTGGATGTCATCTGTTAATATGATTTAATAGCAATGTTACTGAAGCAAGTTATTGTTGTAAAAAAATAATGTTGTGTAGATAATTGACTGTTTTTTGTTTATATTTTTCTTATAATTCGTCTCTTTAATTCGAATGAATGTACCTATTACAATTATATTTAATTTGTATTATTAAATAATGTTGCGTTTTCTTTGTGTAATGGCTAAATGTATTTTTTTTTATTTGTCAATTCAATACAAAATTGTTATTATTTCATATTATTATGATTTAATTATTAATTTGTATTTGATTCAAGTATTATTACTATGAGCCACCTGCATCCACCGACTTCCCGCACATTTGCCCAGGTCGTCATTCCATCTAGTGGGGTCGTCCCACACTGCGATGGCCAGTACTAGGCTGCCACTCGAGAACCTTTCTTCCCCAACGGTTATCGGTTCTACAAGCTATATGGCCGGCCCATCGCCACTTCAGCTTGCTAATCCTCTGAGCTATGTAGGTTACCTTGCTTCTACTACGGATGTCTTCGTTACGAACTCTATCATGCAGGTGGCTCAGGATCGTACTTCGTGGCAGTCCATGGGGGAGGCCTATGTTCAGCAGTGGACTCAAACAGGCTGAAATGATGATGATGATTATTACTATGAGCTTTTGTCTGAAATGAAGAATTATTATTATCATTCAATCTTTGAGATTCAGTAATACAATATAAGTCGCATGTGTCTATATTATCCATTGCGTGTGTCGTACTACTCGTGATTGGGAGAGAAGAAATCCCAAATAATACCCGTAAAAACAAAACCTATTTACGGTGGTAGAGCCACGCGGCAGTCTCGGCTGTTGCACGAATGGGCAGGCTCGTCCGGGTAAGTACCACGAACTCACAGAAGACCGGCGTAAAGTGGAAGTTTAATACTTTCGCGTTTCGTCCGATGAGTGAGGTAGCCGGAGCCCAATTTTCAAAAAGGTTGTCAACGCATCTGCAAACCCTCGGGTGTAGCAGATGTCCATGGGTGGCGGTATTCACTTAACATCAGGTGAACCGTCTAATCGTTTGGCAACTTTTCACATAAAAAAAAGTTAAACATGTACCTTACTGTGACTATAAAATAAAAACCACAAACCCGATCTTTAATTTCTCAATGTCTTTGAACCCTTTTGCGGCGAAAAAATACATTTTCACATTAGAAAAGATATCAACTTCCTCTAGTTCGCAAATCGCTTCGTTTTCAAATGCTGGAACAAAGAAAAGGACATCAAATTAAAAGTACACGGTAACTAGTAGTATAGAGACAAGAAAAACTAGTCAAATGCGAGATCAGATACTTAAGTTGCGCTGTAAGATCACGCCTTGCTTATACTTACCGCTTGAATCACTACATGTATTAAAATCCGCTGCGTAGTTTAAAAGATATAAGCGTACAAACATCTGGAGCGACTTTGTTTATTAAAATTACTGAAATATACCTATGTTGAAAAAATTACTTACTCCTTGCAATAAAAGATTGCACAGTCGGATAGTCGCACAGTAAAGCAGTCTTCGAAGTTCTAACGGCCTCCAAGCCGGCCGATATGTCTATTACTTTTGAACGCGCCAGCTCCTTTTCAATAACGTTTATTTTTCTTTCTAGATAATTTACCTGTGCAATGTAGAAAAGTATGTTTTCTCCCTTTCTTTTTGTTATGCAAAAATCACGCATAATTAAACAAAACTATTTAACCGTTATCATTCATTAGTTAAATTTTGGTTTAAATTAGAACTTTGGGTAATAAACATCAAAATTAACACGATCTACATAGGATTTAAACCATCACCCTGGACAATTCTCCTTTAAATCTTAACGCATAAAACATTCTAATCGATAGCCCAATACATTGCCGATCTGAAATTTTAAAGTTTATTTAACCTTAAAATATGTAGAAAAAGTGCGAAAAGATTGTCGCCGCTGTGGGAATCGAACCCACGTCTTCGGCATTCGCGGCCTGACGCTCTAGCCACTGAGCTAAACGGCTGATTGCCACACCGACGAAAATCTTAACGCATTCTTCTACATTGTTTTCTTAGCATTTGAATCAATGCTTGGCGCCATCTATTGTTATATCCTTTCCAGCATACAAACAATTTCGAATGTCGTTTTACAACGATAATTCGAACGAGAGATGTCGCCATTGCTTTTTTAGAAATTTAAATTGTTTATAGTGCTAATCTTTGCACTTAAGATTCAACATTAAAATATGTAGAAAATGTGCGCAAAGGTTGTCGCCGCTGTGGGAATCGAACCCACGTCTTCGGCATTCGCGGCCTGACGCTCTAGCCACTGAGCTAAACGGCTGATTGCCACACCGACGAAAATCTTAACGCATTCTTCTACATTGTTTTCTTAGCATTTGAAGCAATGCTTGGCGCCATCTATTGTTATATCCTTTCCAGCATACAGCATGCAGCATATTTTTTTTACATATTTTAATGTTCAATCTTAAGTGCAAAGATTAGCACTATAGACAATTTAAATTTTTATTTAACCTTGCTTAGATCCCCTTGAGCCATATTTGAACTTTGGATGAAATCCTCTTTAAACTATCGGGGATTTTAGCTTAATACCCCACGAGCTCACAAAACCTGAATTTCTGGATTACAGATGTCAATAGAGTCCAAGTGTTTAAATGGTTATTCTACTGTGTCTTAGTTTTGGTATTCGTGTATCTAAACATATTTGTTTTCTCTTTGATTATTTTGATAGATCAACTGTAAGGACTGATTTGATTTGGAATTAAATACATTACACTTACTCTCCGATCGGTCGCTGCTTTCATGTTTTCCAATATCCTGAGTTCGTAATCGCTTTCAACTAGTGCCTTAAGATCCATACGGCCCTCTTTATCAGTAACAAGATACGACAACAGATTGGACGTGTAGAACGAATGTGTGACGTAAGCAAATGTAATATAGCAAAAATAAGCGATTCGACGCGACCATAAGAACGAGGGTATAGGTAGAACTGAAATATAAGGACACAAACGATTGAAAATAAAGGTTACGTGTCATCAAACACAACTTCTCTTATATTACTACTAGCGCTATTTAAAGAGCTTTCTGACAATCCGATCTAAGCAGAAACTTTGATATCTCGGGGCCAGTTCTACGAAGTTCGGTACTAACCAATTTCAAGCGATGAAAATGCTTATTGCATTTAATAAAAAAGCGATGACTGGAAAGGTTTAAAATAAAATCTCCATGGTTCTTAACATGGAGTTTTTAAAGTAAAAAAAATTGGGATAAAAAAAGGGGGGAGGTTCAAGATTTCTTTTATTTTATGAGTGCCTAAAACTAAAAAATAAATGATTTTCCGCGTTAAATACTATTTTATTAGATACTAGCGACCCGCACCGGCTTCGCACAAGTACAATGTGTTATACATATAAACCTTCCGCTTGAATCACTCTATCTAGTAAAAAAACCGCATCAAGATGCGTTGCGTAGTTTTAAATGTGTAAGCATAGGGACAGACACACAGCGAGACGAATTTGTTTTATACTATGTAGTGATAGTGATGCGATACTAAAATTACAAAAACACAAACTTCACATAACAGAAACTAAGAACTTACAATGCTGATAAATCACACCGACGACTATGAAAACCTCGTAAAGAAAGTTGCAATCTGGAACGTCGAATATACGGCTCTCCCATCTCCTCATTATGTATAAAACAACTGTAACCAGTATCGTTATATTCAAAATGCAAACCCACACACTTTTAGCAAACGGTAGACTGTAGTACGGCCGCATAATAGCGCTGTGCTTGCGACGGAGGATAAAACCGAACCTGAAAATATCAATTTCATTATTCATACCCGATTTTTCTCATATAATTTACCTCCAAAACATTGCTTAAAAATGTGTTTTTTTTATGTGACAAAATAGCAAACGAGCTGGCGGTTCACCTGATGTTAAGTGATAACCGCCTGCCCATAGACATTTGCAACACCCGTAGGGTTGGAGATGCGTTGCCACTTCTTAAAATGAGGTGGGCCCCAGCTACCTCACCTTTCAACAAAGTGGGCCCCGGCTATCTCACTCACCAGACAAAACGCAGAAGTGTAACACTTCTACTTCACGCCGGTCTTCTGTGAGGTCGTGGTACTAACCCGGACGGACCTGCCCATTCGTGCAACGGCAAACACTGTTGCGTGGCCCTACCAACGACAACATTACTTAAAAATGTGTTTTTTTATGTGACAAAGTGGCAAACGAGCTGGCGGTTCACCTGATGTTAAGTGGTAACCGCCGCCCATAGAAGTTTGGAACATCCGTAGGGTTGCAGATGCGTTGCCACCTTTCAACAAAGTGGGCCCCGGCTACCTCACTCACCAGGCGCAATGCAGAAGTGTAACACTTCTACCTCACGCCGGTCTTCTGTGAGGTCGTGGTACTAACCATTCTTGCAACAGTGAACACTGTTGCGTTGCCCTAAGACAGGGGAAAAATTTTACGCCGCTGCCAGATTCGAACCTACGCCTTCGGGATTACTGTTCCAAACGTTCTAGCCAATAAGCTGCGACATCTTAATTGCAAGAAAACCGACGTCTTATTTACTCTGTTCGTTTTGCATTTACCAGTGCTTTCCGTTACCTAATGTGATTCCTTTACAACAACAACGAGTATCGAGTGGTATTCTGACAGTTTTGTCTAAATATTTTTAATCTTAAATGCAAAGACTGGCAGCACTGAAAAATTAAAAGTTAAAATTCGAAAACGTAATTTTTGACACTTTTAACGTGATCCAAATAAAAAATAAAAAAGGCCACAAGACGATACGACAATCCCATATGGGGTTTAGACTGTCACGTCAAAGTACGATTTTATATACACTTCAGTCGTGCTCAAAGTGTAAAAGTGAGACACTGTGAACCGGCAAATATATTAGGGCTGCCAAAATAGCCTTGTTTCATTCTTGGAATTAGAAGTCATTGAATGAATTAATTACTCAATTTAGCCATAAACCCTTCAGTTTACCTCCACGTGAATACTGCCTCAATAGGGCGAGCGAGGTCCAATAGTTCCCCTGTAATCGCCATTGGTTTCACGTAAATGTCAACAGAGTCGTTGACATGTGGGTAGACATTAAATCCCTTCTCATCCGTCACATGATCGCTCAGATGTTTTACAATGAACGTAACACTGTGAAATGGAAAATTCATTTATTCGTTAACGATCTATCATTATTTAAAATTATCTGGATATATATATTTGCACCAAGAGCACTCTCTTGCTGAAAAAGTAAATACATTTTAACAATTTTTTTAAACTGTAGGAATCACTTATTTCATCTTTGTTTGTGAGATTATATCGATCTTTAAATGATCATTAAAATAATCAAAACTTTATCGTAATTATTTATTTTTGTAAAAATATTAAATGCAAATAACTAACAATAGACTCTACCATATCGTACCAAAAGAATCCAAGAAATTATAAAAGAACAAACACATTTGTCGGGAAACCAATAGTATCGAGCAAATAATACCGATTCAATCATAACAGCGTATGACTTTATTATTACTGTATCGGAATTAGGTCAGAACATTCACAAGTTTTATCCGAGTTGTCAATAACAACTTTCATAAGTTTTGCTAATATGAAATCAATGTTATTTCGCCATAATCCCGCCTCGTTACTCAAGTTTCCAAATTAATTACGAAAAAATAAGCTGAAAAATAATATAAACAATACACCAATAAATACCGGTGTTTATTATACCTTCAGGAGGCCTATCTACGGCAGAAGACTAATTACCGTTCTTGATTATTATTACAAAGAACTAAAGATAAGATCCAAAAGGAATTTACTTTTAATCATCAGCCCAACCGAAAACATCATGAATTTCTACTTACTTGAATTCAAACATCTGCTGGAGTATCAATAGCAATCGGCAACTCAGTGCGTTCTGCCTCCACATTGGGTCAAATTTATAAATGTTTTCAACCTCGTCCACCTGATAGCAGTCAAAATAACTGCTAACTCTGACAGTTCGGTTCATTTCCCGAAAGAAAAATATTTTTGTTGTGTCAATGTGAATATAATTCAACTCAAAAGTTTTATTTGCGATTTTATTTTTATCAGAATCAAATGACTATGAATAAAATTCTTAGTAATTTTAACAACGATAGCATATGCAGATGGCATTGTAGCTGAGCACACTGTAAGGCTCGTAAACTGTGCGATAAAATAAAAACATCGTTAATGATAAGCAAACATTGATCATACGAAAAGTAAATTTGCTTAACATAATAAAACATCCCTTATACGTAACAGTTATAATTACATTCAAACAACCTACATAAGTCACGCAATATGCTGATGCACTATTTTGGAATTAATAACATTAAATTATTTATGCAGTAGAGACAATTCGGAGTTCCCGTTTTACTAATTTCTTTAATAAGTATAACAATCATTGTATTATTATTTTATATTTTTTTATTTAGTTAGTTTATAAATAATATAAATTATTCTCTGCCAAACTGTGATGCAGTTTGTCGCCAGCAGTTCTCGTGAATAGTTCACATCGATGTACTTCAACCTTACTTTATTGCAATATGACACCTAGTGTATATGTACCTAATACTATGTATGTGATATGTATAGTATATATATATATATATATATATATATATATATATATATATATATATATAGATATATATAATTTAAATAACCCCATAAAACCTCCTGCTAGAAAGAAACCTGCAAGTGTTCTTTAAACATTCTTATGAAATGTTTCTCAGAGTGGAAACAAAAAACGCTAAATTTAAAAGATGTTTGTACAATAAATATTGCGAAATTAACTTTCTATGGCTTGATGAAACTTAACGAAACTCGAGTTATAAGTTGCCCATTTTTAAGTCGAAAATTTTCATTTTATTCTTGTGAAAGTTAGATTTATTGCCAAATTATGGGAATGGAATTTTGATTATACAAAATTTGACCTAGTGTATTGGGCTACAGATATTTTAATTGTTATGATTAAATTTTAATTCCGATTTCTTGGATGTTTTATGTTTTACGTTATACGTTGTCCTAATAACACCTTACGCCATACTTCATACAGAAATACAACCCATACAACCCGATATTTAAATTAGCTACCGTGGATGTTTATTTGTTTCAGAAAGCACGAGGTCTCAATGACAAATACAAGTTCTGTGGGATAAATATTTCAAGCATCGAGCTTACTTCATAGGAACCGAGTAAAACCAGTCACAGTTGAGCGAGGTATTATTAGAGGTAGAGATACGTATGTCGGTTGACTGCGCGCGAAATGGTGAATGGCAATAGGCGGCGACTAGCATTTGCTGACTCCAGTTGCATAGCTGCACCGACATTGTCCACAAACTACAACGTTGTAAAATTATTATGTTTGTATCGAGTTTCATTTTGGTTTTAATTACCAATGTTTCTAAGGCTTTACAAAAAAAACTAATGGTTACGAAAGCACGGGAAAATAAAATTCAGTGACGTTTATCATATCTGTTACTATTTAGTGCATATTCGTCGTTACCAAAAGTATTTCCTCCGTGCCAGGCGTAAAACCTCTCATAATTCTAAAAGAGCTTAACATCTCATTGCCTTTGTAACACGTTGCGGTCCGCATGAATTATTGCGAAAGCCGATCCTGGGTAGTGAAATTGGTTAACGAAAGCGAACCCGTTTCTTATAAACTCTTCAAAACTCGCGAAGTCAAAGAAATGCTCACAAAAGATTGCACGTTGTAAGTTAGAGAAACACGTTTAAACGATTCGACGAAACGGTTAACTTGATTTAAGTTGGCGAAAGCTGAAAAGAAAGTTTTGAGTCGCTTTCCTACTTTTTTTCTTTGCTTTGTTTTTCTTCCTTTGCTTTTTTATTTTAAGACCGGTGAACAGTTGTACGGATGCCAGTGAAATAAAATGTTTCGCAATTAGGACTAATGTTCTCGGAATAAACATGTTTGATGATTTATAGTCAACAGGGTTTTAACTATTAAAAGAGCTTTGCACCATACGTTATAAATAATTTTCATTCAATCTATCTTCAGATTTCTCTTTGCAATTTGTAAAAAAGGAAGATAATCTTCAGTGTAGACATTCAGTAATCATAAAGTTTAAACTACATTATTTAAATTGTTTACGTTTTGAGTTTTGTGATTATACCTTAACGCTTCCTGTTACGGATCGCATGATCTTCTGGGTCTCACTAGATACGAAACGCATTTGTTATTTCCTCAGGAATTCATTTATTATTACCACGCGGTCGAAGCTTTTTTCAGGTTTTAATGTAGAGATTCCCTTTCTTACCTCCATTTTATCTAGATCTCGCATAAGTTCTCGTTTTCTGACTGTGCTAATCTATAGAGTTGAAACTGGGTCTTAATTTCGAAGAATGTTTCTTATCTCGTATTTAAACTCAATTTGAATCCTGATATCCAAGTTCTATATAGTTTTAATCCTTGCTCAGCTTTTTTTTAAATCTTAGATTTTTTTTAATGTTTCATGTTTTCTGTTTGATTTTTTGGGGATGATGCCGTGTTTATAATTTACTTCCTGGTATTATTTGATGTAACAGAAAAAATACTATTGTGGTTTGAAGGCACATTAGAATATTTCAATATTGGCAACACTCACACTTCTGATGTCGCTTCATAACATTGCTATTTTTATGGTATCGTTTCAGTCAGCATTCTAATGTGCTTAAAAGCATACTTTTTATTTTTTTAAACTCCCGTCATCCGTGTTTGTTAGCATGTATTGAGAGGTACCTATAATAAATTAAGATTAAAATACAAAATAAAAATTGTTTTCATTGGTTCGATTTGCTTCCATTGTACTGAATATTAAACGTTCATCATACTGGAAATTTTTATATATTTTTTATTATTATTTATTTTTTGTTATTTATTTTTTATTATTTTTAAAAAGATATAATTTTATATAATGATGAGACTCTAGAAAACCTCCGACAAAAGCATCCATCGATCAATCTTCCGCCGCTCCTACCGCTGCCTCCCGATTCTTCATATCAGGCTTTGCAAATCCGATAAAGACACTTTCGAGGCAATTATGTCATTTTCAAGTGGCTCTGCTGGCGGCATTGACGGTATAACGCCACAACATCTGAAAGATCTTGTAAGCGTTTCCGCCGGTGATGCTGGCAGAGCGCTTCTTAATGATATTACCAAATTATGCAACTTAATGCTCTCCGGAAAAGTAAATCCTAAATTTGTTCCTTTCTTATACGGGGCAAGATTATGTGCCTTTAAAAAAAAAGATAATGGTATCCGTCCTATTGCTATTGGTTCTACCTTTCGACGCTTAACTTCAAAATTAGCATGTAGGCACATAATCTCCGGCCTTAAAAGAAAATTCCAGCCTATTCAACTAGGCTTTGGAAGCAAAGGCGGCTGTGAAGCGGCTGTACATTCCGTTCGAACTTCTTTAAATACTAGTGATTTGGATGTACTTCTGAAGGTTGACCTAAGGAATGCTTTTAACTCCATTGATAGAACGACTCTGCTGAACGAAGTGGCTAACCATACACCAGAAATATATCACTATGTTTGGCAATGTTACAGTGAAAAGAGTAATTTATTTTATGAAAAACCATATTATTGATTCTGCTGTCGGCGTTCAGCAGGGAGATCCGCTAGGACCAGCATTATTTAGTTTGGGAATTAATCCAATTATTTCAAAATTGAAATCTAAACTTAATGTCTGGTACCTAGACGATGGTACTCTGGGAGGTAAAGTTGACGATGTACAAAGCGATGTTATTGAAATTATTAGACAATTTAAAAATATCGGTCTCGATTTAAATAATTCCAAATGCGAACTTTTCTTTTCCGAAAAGATTTCTTTTTCCGACAAAATCATTTTGACCCCAAAATTTTAGCTCTATCATACCGGGAATTAACGTAGTCCGTTCAGATTCACTTTACCTCTTAGGTGCTCCTTTGTTGATACCAAGTTTGGAACCTCATTTAAAATTAAAGTTAAGTCAATTTTTAGATCATGTCAATAAATTGTTTTTACTAAATTCGCATATTGCGCTTACTATTTTGCGACATTGTATTCTTGTACCTAAGTTTACGTACCTCCTTCGCTCGAGTCCAGTTTGGAAATGCGGTGACTTTTTGAACGAAATTGATTTCCATCTTAAATCAGCTCTAGAAAAAATTCTAAATTTATCTCTTAATGAATTAAGCTGGACTCAAGCTACGCTGCCAATTCGTTTTGGTGGTATCGGTGTAAGGAAAATTTCTAGTGTCGCTCTACCTGCCTTCCTTGCTTCCGTGCATAGCGTAAATAGTTTATGTAATAACATTCTTAATCACGATTCAGAACTTTCCTATGCAGAGGAGGCAAGGATGTCTTGGCTGTCTATCTGTCCCAACGAAAATATCCCACTGGAAGTAAACCTACAAAAACAGTGGGATGTTCCTTTGGTGCGGAGAGTACAGAGAGATACGTTTCAATCTTTAGAAAGTAATTTAGAGCGTGCCCGTTTCCTAGGAGTCTCATCTAAAGAATCGAGTTATTGGCTTGGCTTCGCTTTACCATCAAGTAACTTGGGCACATTACTTGACGATGAAAGCTTACGCATTGCTGTAGGAATCCGTCTGGGGGCACCGATTTGTCAACCACACCAATGCCCTTGTGGTGTCAGTGTAGACAAATTTGGTCTCCACGGGCTTTCTTGTCAAAAAAGTGCTGGCCGTTTTTCTCGCCACGGTTCCCTGAACGACATCATCCGTAGGGCTCTTGTTTCCATCAATGTTCCATCTATTTTAGAGCCCTGTGGCATTTTACGCGACGATGGTAAGAGACCCGACGGTTTAAAATTGATCCCTTGGGAGAGAGGCAAAGTCCTTGTTTGGGACGCCACTTGTGTAGACACTTTGGCTGCCTCTCATCTAAGGGGTACTTCGGTCAGGGCCGGGGCGGCATCGGAGGCAGCTGAAGTAAGTAAATAGCGCAAATATGAGTCTTTATGTTCAGATTATAT